ACAGGCAAGGTCAAAAGTAGGGCAATGAATCAATGGATTTTATGTAACACACTTCAAAGGACCATCTAAATATTCAAAATTAACGAACACGTTTTTTTTCACTGCTTAACTGCAGCTGTTCCTAATTTAAGACTTTTATTTAAAGCTCCTTTCTCTTAGACTGTACTTGCCCTGAAGAGGGTATTTTTAAAGAGGTAGTGGCAAACAGTATAGAGATGCAGATTCAAGAGTTCGAACTCTCAAAAGTAATCCAAGCAAAGCGAGAGGATATTACCGGAGGATTTGATAATTTCAAGCGTAAGTAAATTATTATTATTCTCAACTTTATTACGATTGGGGAGGTGGGGCCATATTCATTAATCTCTTTTTGAGATGATTTGAAAACCCCGATTTACTGCAAACCACGATTTACTGCGGTCATTTCCTTTCCCCAAATAGGGTTAAACATACACATATCGTAAACAAACAAAACCCTGATTTACCGCAAACCTGGATTTACCGTACGCGTATTAGTAGATCAGGGTTTTACTGTAGCAAGAAAGTGTTAAGCATTTATATTGATAATTTGTATCAGAAGAATAATAATGAACATTATATTTGTGTAATTGTGGCTGTAAACGTTAAAGTGAGGCTTTACAGTTGGTGTGACAAACAATTGACTTCATTCTACCCTTAATCAACTAGAAAATCATAATAACCCTCAGTTCACCAATCATATTCAATTATTCAGGTGACTAGTAAGGAGAAGACTGACTAGTGTTTAAAGTGAGGACTGAGGATACAGAAAACTTAGATAAGAAGATCATTCGACCACCTTTCAACTTAGTGATTTAGGATCTCTCAGACATTTGATTTTCATCTTGAATTTATTTTGTACCGTATCCCTTGAAATATGTAGTTTCAGTTCAATTAACTTGTGTCAAACATGTGTTATATCATTATAATTACTTAATCAGGAGGTGACCGGGAATCCCGGTACCGGGATTGACAATTTTGAGCTATCCCGGTCAACCGGGTCAAGTCACATTTTTCATCCCGGTCCCGGTCCCGGTCCCGGTCAAATGCTGATTTATGATCCCGGTCCCGGTCCCGGTTAATTCAGGATTCTTGGTCCCGGTCCCGGTCCCGGTCAATCACTCAAATTTGCCGGGATTTTGACCGGGATCTTTTACATAATTTCATTCACTGTGATTTTAAGTTTTTACTTTCATTCATTGTGAATTTCATCTTTAAACAACCTCTGAGCCAAATAAAACAATGTTTAAAATTGCTAAACAAGTTTAGGTAACTAATATCGTTATATAACTCATAAGTGCAAACTAACATCAAGTTTTCAACTCGGGCTACGCCAAATTGTCAATTGGAATTGGAGAATGAAACTGTTGAATAATTTGAGGGATCATTGATTGAGGAATGAGGAATGAGGGTGAACTTGAGTAATCAGTACATGAACATTATTGGTGTAGTACATTAGGCCCATGCCCCATATTGACGGTTTTTTAAAAGTTTTTTCTAATTTAATATTCTAGTTATTACTTATTCAAATTGTTTCAATATGAGAATACCAGTTTTGGTCCCGGTCATCCCGGTCAAATCCCGGTCATCCCGGTCAAATCCCGGTAAAATTGGATTGTCCCGGTCCCGGTAAGATAGAAATCCCAGAAATTATTGGTCCCGGTCCCGGTCCCGGTCACGGTAAATTGATAATCTCAGTCCCGGTCCCGGTCCCGGTCAAGTCACATTTTGTATCCCGGTCCCGGTCCCGGTCAGGCCTAAAATCATGTCCCGGTCACCTCCTGTACTTAATTAATCTTAAAAACATGGTCAACAAGGCAATTATTTACTTCACAAAGCCCCTGGCCCTATATGTGGGCACAAATGAAACTAGTAATTAAAAAAATGTAATATATGGAGAATAAGTTAATTGTTCAACAACGACAAAAAACTCTGGTTTCAATCGATCGAGTTTAAAACATTATAAATAGGATTTAAGGGTTTTTTTTACTAGTTCATTAGAACATCATGAGTCACACTATCCATGATCGAGAAACTGGAAGCTAAATATCCGGAGAATGCTTTGATGGAGTGTTGTATTATAATTATGTAACTTGTAATCTTGTAATAGAGGGAATCATGAAAATATCCTAATGGTTTCCAAATGATTACTTTTGACACAATAGCTATGACGTGTAAAACTGATTACGGGGGGTGGGGTTAAAAATTGGCCAAAAATTGATTACGTAATATAGTGAACGACCCCGGCCCTTCTAGCTGAATTTTTCTTCAATGACCAATTAGAGTTCATTGTGGATGGTACAAGACACTATTGACAGTATTGAGGCACTAAAAGCTGGAATACCCTAGTAAGCTTTGATAAACGGAAATCATCAGACGCAGACAATTTGGGAGATTTCTAAGTAAAGCTTTTCTGCTGTTTCCTTGATCCAAATTTCACAGCTTTGGCTGAATGTTTTACCATTGTCCTATCAGTGAGGTTGGTGTGAGTGACACAATCCAAGATTGAAGTACTGGAAGCTGAATATCCAGGAAAAGTTTTGACTAAAGGGAAATCATAAACGATCTTTCACGGTATGGAAAATCTGCCAAGAGTCTGGCTGATAACTTTTGTCCCCGCCTTGTCGAAAGCTGTAAGAGCAACAAAAGCACACAGTTTGTTTTTTGTGCTTTGTCTTTAACTAGAATTGGTTGGTTGAACAGAGAAATTGATGATTTTAATCTATGTATGGTGAATCTCGCCAGGGTGATTCCCAATCTGACATTTTATGATGCCCATGCCGTTATCAAGCGGGTTCATTCATACTACGTATGGGACCGCAATGATAAGCATGGCATCCATTTACATCACGATGTATATGTCAGAAGGGCTGTTGCAAATGAACTTGTCAACTGCGTTGGCAAGTTATGTGGATCAGAACTGCCACGCCACAGGAACTGTGCGTGGCTCTACCACCATGAGCCTAACAGTCCTTTCAGATATCACCGAAGTTGAGCACTAATCCATGAATGAATTAATTATATACAAATCAACCTATTCTGTCAAGCCCTTAAATTAAGCATATCATCAAGTTATTTTCATATCTTTTTCAGTACATCCTCACTCCTCATCCAAATTCATCATTTGATTGCTACCACGATCGATTTTTGAAGAAATGATCTGATTGGTCGAAAATGCTTATCTTCTTAAGGTTATCAGATGAACTGATGAACATTCTTTAACTATCAAGCATTTTTGTCTCTTATCATCCCGCCATACATTTCCTAAAACATTTTCACATTACCAAACAAAACTGTACACATTTTATTTAATAATTATAAAAGCTTCTCTGGTAAATCAGCATCAAGCACGTTTCCTCAGTCAAAGTTCAGTGCAACAGTATTTTCGAAAACTTCACAAACAACTAAATAGCAAAAATCACCACACAAAACTACACAACGACACAATTTCACACAACAACATACAAAATCACAACGATTTAATATACACTCTAGGTAAAGTCATATTATCATACTGATAAGCCCGAGAATCGAGATAAGGGCACTATATTGTAACATCTGATTTAGCGAATATTTTTTAACAAATAAGTAGATAAGACTCAGATCACGATTCTGTAGCATACAGGACCTCCGGTTCTCGTGAAAGAATCTGATTTGCACTAGTATAGATATATTTTACGTTATTTATAAATTTATACATTTTTTTCCCTGCTCTTGCCGAAGGCAAAAATATCGTAGGGAATAAGTAATCGGGTTTGGATATATGAGGTGGCCCGACGGTCCTACGGTGATGACAAAAGTCTGCTCCTTCGCAATATAGACCACTCCCCTATAATTATGTGTATAAAAGGAGTCTATTTTGCGCGCGCGACGCCAGTTATGTGTTAATTAATTACAGCCATAGCAACAAAATTTTGGTGCTTGACGACTGTTACACAGGTTTCCATCAGGTTACAATTCACTCTAATTCATTAATATATAGCATATTAGTCATCTGAGCGGATCAATCATCAACATAAGTGTTATTTTGGTGAAACAAGCTTAATATATTACCAAGTGATAATATTCAGCAAGTCAAAACAAATTAAATTATGATATCAGCTGATAAACTCGTGGCTGATTATTTAAGTTACAGGAGGTAGTTTACATGATGGTTAGAGGGGGGGTGGGGTACAACCCCTTACAGGAGGTAGTTTACATGATGGTTAGAGGGGGGTGGGGTACAACCCCTTTCAATAGGTAGTTTACATGATGGTTAGAGGGGGGGTGGGGTACAACCCCTTACAGGAGGTAGTTTACATGATGGTTAGAGGGGGTGGGGTACAACCCCTTACATGAGGTAGTTTACATGATGGTTAGAGGGGGGTGGGGTACAACCCCTTTCAATAGGTAGTTTACATGATGGTTAGAGGGGGGTGGGGTACAACCCCTTACAGGAGGTAGTTTACATGAACTAGATGAGTGTAATGTTTGTCTTTATAGACTAGATTTAATAGACTATTCGTTAAATTAGAAATTAGTTGAGCGTAATAATTCTTATCACTTTAGCATAGCATCAACATTTGTCTTGCTGAGTCAATACGTGATAATTTGGGTATTCCGGTAGAATAAATTATGTAATTATTGTAAGTAATACAGTGCATAAATTATGTAATAAGTTATAAATATTAGAGTGCAGGTGTGATTCTGTGCGATACTGTGATAAAGAATTTAAGATAAAAAGCATGATAAAGAACATTTTTTGGATGTAAACCGAATTCTACAAATTTTAGGAATACCCATGACGTTTTCCTGAATTTGAAAATGATAACATGTTATCATACTCCACATATTATTATCTTAAAATAGGAATTCCATGAGCCGATGGTTAAAGTGTGTGTAAAGTATAATATTCTGTTAAAATAAGTATAAAGTTACCTTTGTAAAGGTGAAGCAACGGGGGGGGGGGGGGGGGGGGGGGGGGGGGTATAAAAGTATAAAGTTACCTTTGTAAACTCCACACACTGCATTGAAATCCAGCAGAAGATAATGGGACCTGACAATCATCTCTAAGAAGAAGGGAAAGTTCAGTTTCTCAGATAAAATCATTGACCATATAAGGTTATTGACCTCCTTATAAGGTCATTGACCTTATATGGTCATTTTAAAAGGTATTTTTAGTCCCTTTGTAAGGACTGCAGAGGTCTGCAAGTCAAATAGTTACCACGGTTACATGCAGAGTTCTGCATGTTCCTCGTCAAAGTCAAATAGTTTCATATAGTCGGTCATGTGTACAGCAGGGTGTCAGAATTATTGGCGTGTTTGAAATTTTATGTGTATTTTATGATGAAATCAATATTTTTCGACGGGTCATAACTTTACTTCTGAATATCGAAATTACAAAAAAACTGGTTTGTAGACAATCGTCTGAATTTTTTCTTAATTTCAGAATTTTGTGTTCATGTACCTCAAAACCCAAAGCGCCAATAATTATGACACTCTGCTGTATCAGTAGTTCTGTCAAATGGTAGTGTAAATATTGAGCAGATAAATCAACTAATTTAATGGAGTTGTCTGTTTCTTGCAGATAAATTCATTTAGTCTTGTAGATTCATTGGATTCGTTCAGTGACTTGATATTATTTAAGGATCTGTAAATGTTTTAACCCACCCTTGTAAAACTTAGCATTTCTCTCGAATTCTTCTAATTTCTTAGCGAGGTCATCTGAAAGGAATGTTAATCAGTGTCAATGATAAGAAAAGAACGTGACAAAACGAAAGCCGAAATTCGCTATTATTATCAATACTACTGGTATCATATCATTATGTAACACTCCTTATCTGTAGGCTTTATATACTTACAAGTAGCTTTAATAAACAAATTTACACTAGACATTAAAACTTACCGTTGCACAGCACCGCCCGTGTTAGGCCCAGTTTATCAGCGGTACCACTAGACATTAAAACTTACCGTTGCACAGCACCGCCCGTGTTAGGCCCAGTTTATCAGCGGTACCACTAGACATTAAAACTTACCGTTGCACAGCACCGCCCGTGTTAGCCCCAGTTTATCAGCGGTACCACTAGACATTAAAACTTACCGTTGCACAGCACCGCCCGTGTTAGCCCCAGTTTATCAGCCGTACCACTAGACATTCTTTCAATACACTTGTGTTTTACTTTCTTCATTACTGAAATAATTATCAGATTTTCAGAACGAAATATGATCAGATATTACTGGGTTTTTTTGGGGGGTTGATCGTAGGAGAGATTTTGCCAGGTTAATCATTACATCAGTACGAGTATTGAGTATTGTTGCCATGGTTACATCAGTACGAGTATTGAGTATTGGTGGTACGGTTGCATTGATGGTATGTGGTTGGTGCTACGGGTGGTGGTATACGGTGAACAGACAACAAAAGATTCAATATTCAGAGGAGTAATCAGACGGTTCAGTGATTTGATTAAATTTCAGTGGAATCTCTAAACAATATTCACATCGGGGGAATTAGTAGCTGAGGTGACACTTGTTACATTAGATCTGAACATGATTGTTTATAATATGTGGCTCAAATAATCCCACTGAACTTAAGAAAAGCGCTCGATTTCAACTTGATAAGAAACGTAAGAACCAGTAGACCTAGTACTACATGATGTAAGCTAATTTACAGCTCGTCAATTCAAACCACCAAGCCACGTACTGAGCAGTATTCAGAAATATGCGTTTCAACCTTGCACTGTTTCCGAGAACATGGCTTGCAGGTTTTAAAGTTAAGTAAAAATAAGATGTTAAGATACTGAGTGGAGTAGTTCGAGTTAAGATACTGAGTGCAGTAGTTCGAGTAAAGATACTGAGTGCAGTAGTATTCGGTAAAAATACTGAGTGCAGTAGTTCGAGATTAAGATACTGGTGCAGTAGTTCAGTTAAGATACTGAGTGCAGTAGTTCGAGTTTAAGATACTGAGTGCAGTAGTTCGAGTTAAGATACTGAGTGCAGAAGTTCGAGTTAAGAAACTGATGACAGTAGTTCGAGTTAAGATACTGAGTGAATAGTTCGAGTTAAGAAACTGATGCAGTAGTTCGAGTTAAGAATACTGAGAGCAGTAGTTCGAGTTAAGATACTAGTGCAGTAGCTCGAGTTAAGATACTGAGTCATAGTTTCGAGATTAAGATACAGAGTGCATAATCGAGGTTAAGATACTGAGTGCAAGTAGTTCGAGTTAAGATACTGAGTGCAGTATTCGAGTTAAGAACTGAGTCAGTATTCGAGTTTAAGATACGGTGCAGTAGTTCGAGTTAAGATACTGAGTGCAGTAGTTCGAGTTAAGATAACTGAGTGAAGTCGTTCGAGTTAAGATACAGAGTGCAAGTAGTTCGAGTTAAGAACTGAGAGCAGTAGTTTCAGTTAAATACTGAGTGCAGTATTCGAGTTAAGATTCGGAAGGTGCAGTATTCGAGTTAAGATACTGAGTGCAGTAGTTCGAGTTAAGATACTGAGTGCAGTAGTTCGCGTTAAGATACTGAGTGCAGTAGTTCGGTTAAGATACTGAGTTCAGTCGTTCGAGTAAATACTGAGTGAAAGTAGTTCGATTAAGATACTGAGTGCACTCATGCAGTAGTTCGAGTTAAATACTGAGAGCAGTATTCGAGTTAAGATACTGAATAGCGCGAGCTTTCGTGAATGATTAAACTGGCGCAGTAGTTCGAGTTAAGACTGATGCAGGAGTTCGAGTTAAGATACTGAGTCAGTAGATTCGAGTTAAGATACTGATGAGTAGTTCAGAGTTAAGATACTGAGAGCAGAGTTCGAGTTAAATACTGATGGATCAGTAGTTCAGATTTCAGAAAACAGATATAATCTGAGAGTACGGGTTGTTTAAAACATATTTCTCTATTACATACATATAATACATATTAAGAGTAATACGAAATGTTTTTTCTCACCCTATCAGACCCTTTGCCTCCTTGCAGTGGTTTTGTATCCACTGTTAATTTAGACGTACGTAAAGTAACTGTCGCCCTAAATATAAGCAATTAACAGTTAGCCGCCTCCCCAAGCATGTGATTGACGTCACAATTGACGCCACAAGCAAATACAAAACGGAGTTTTGTCTGTCTGAATAATCAAAGTACCTCTATTGGAAACTTTCACTGGTAACGATGGAAACTAGTACAGCACTGACTTGAGTTATCAATATCATGTTCCATCTCAAGTTTCTCAGATTTGAAGAACAATAGTCCACTGACTGTGGACAATTCTACATGTCACAGAATGTCTATTTCCAGACGAGTTTTTTCCATTTCTAAACAATAGACCCCTTAAATGCCGTAATTGGCAAAAATGTGACTAAAGTTTTGAAAACGTTCGATTTAGCAGAAAACGGCAAAACAATCACAAAGCTATTCACGTTAGCTAGTATGTAGATTAAAGAAAAAAAGAAAGATTATAAAGATTATAAACATCATTAAAAAGGAGGAAGAAGAGAGAACTAACATCATCGTAACTAGGTAGACTAGTAGTGTAACTATGGTAACTAACGTCCAATACCGTATAAACTTGGCTGCCTGCACTTTTCGTCATCGTTCGATGAACAACTTAACGGTTTAACACATCCACTCATCTCCACTTTAATGTTTCCCTCTTTCCAGGCGGGGGTGTTCTTCGAATACCTGGGTTGTGGTGTTTATAAGACCAGGGGAGTGTGTGTTTATTATACCTGGGAGTGTGATGTTTATAAATACCTGGGAGTGTGGGTGGTTTATAATACCTGAAGTGTTGTGACAAGCGCCTGCATAGAGCGAGATATATTCGGAATGTGTCTCACACTCTCATGCCGCAGATCGCACGACACACTCAACACATTACCACCTGGTGAGTGTGGTGTTTATAATACCGGAGTGTGGTGTTTATAATACCTGGGAGTGTGGTGTTTATAAATACCTGGGGAGTGTGGTTTTATAATACCTGGGAGTGGTGGTGTGTATAAATAGGGGAGTTGTTTTATAATACCGGGGAAGTGTGTGTTTATAATAACCTGGAGTGGTGGTGTTATAATACCTGGGAGTGTGGTGTTTATAAGACCTGTGGATGTGGTGTTTATAATACTGGGGATTGGTGTATATAATACCTGGGAGTGTGGTGTTTTATAATACGCTTGGGAGTGTGGTTTTATAAATACCAAGTGAGTGTGGTGTTTATAATACCTGGGAGTGTGTGTTTTATAATACCTTGGTAGGTGGTGTTTATATACCATGGGGAGTGTTGGTTTTTATAATACCTGGGGAAGTGTGTGTTTATTTACCTGGGGAGTGTGGTGTTTAAAATACCTGGGAGTGTGTGTTATAATACCGGGGAGTGTTGTTTTATAATACCTGAGTTGGTTTTATAATACCAGAGTGTGTGTTTATAATACCTGGGGGAGTGAGTTTTAATAAACCTGAGGTGGTTTTATAATACCTGGGAAGTGTGTGTTTATAATACCTGGGGAGTGTGTGTTTATACGACCTGGGGAGTGTGGTGTTTTTAATACCTGGGATGTGGTGGTTTTATAATACCTGGGGAGTGTGTGTTTATAATACCTGGGGATGTGTGTTTATAATACCTGGGGAGTGTGGTGTTTTATAATACCTGGGGATGTTGGTGTTTATAATACCTGGGGTAAGTGTGGTTTTATAAATCTGGGTAGTGTGGTGTTGATAATACCGGGAGTTGTGTTTTATAATATCTGGGTTGTGTGTTTATAATACCTGGGGAGTGTGGTGTTTATAATACCTGGGGTGTGGTGGTTATAATACCTGGGAGTGTGGTGTTTATAATACCTGGGGAGTGTTGTGGTGTTAGAATACCTGAGTGTGTGTTTATAATAACTGGGGAAGTGTGGTGTTTATAATAACTGGGGAAGTGTGAGTGTTATAAATAACGTGGGAAGTGGGTGTTTATATAACTGGTGGAGTGTGTTTTATAATAACTGGGGGAGTGTGGTGTTTATAATAACATTCAGTGTTTCATTTAACAGATGAAATTACTGAATTACTTGCTAAGTAAAATTGTAAGTACACATTAGTTTAACTAATGTTAATTACCTGGACTACATAAAGAGAAGGACAGTAAGTGCCCCCCCCCGCCCCCAAAAAGTAGCCCCACCATGCCATCTTTTTCTCTCGCCAGATAACATACTGCCAGCACAATTGGTACATTTTCACTGCTCCTAATAATGAAGATAATAGACTACCTTAATTGAGATTAATATTAGGTTGTTCTTTTGTATTCTCTATATATTAAGGATGTGCAATAGATTTCCAATAGATCATTCATTTCACAGTAACCAAGATCCTGATATAAAATTAATTAATATTTGAAGCGATCAAACAATGAATACGAAACGATGTATGCAATCAGCAGTTGAATATTTACACATTGAAATTTAATAAGAACGACATTTCTGAACAAATTAACTCAAATTACCTAAAGTACCTAAAGTAAATTACGTAATATCCCATATAAATACTATTTATTATTCTGTTTCAACAGAAGTAAAAACTATCAATTTTAGTAAAAAGTTTTAAAACTTACATCACTAAGCACTGAAATGTTTCAATAAACAATCAATGCAGTATTTTCGTACAGCGTAAGCTGGCACTTATTTTGGCCAGTTTGGTCATTTAATCGTAAATATTCTTTAAAATTGCTAATTTGATTAAACTAACAGCGAAATATTCAAATACGCGAAAGTTCTAAAAAAGGCTACAATTGGCTATTTCATGCAGAAATAACAGTCAATAAACACTCAAGACACAATCCCAGTCTTTATCATCCACAACTTCTTATTAAGAATTAAGCTGAACGTCAATATTTACACTGTACTCCATCTCCCCAGTTCCATCTAGTCTGTACACTGTTCTTTATGTGGATAAGAGGAGGAGAGGAGAGGTCAGTGCATGGAACGACTAGAATGTGTGGACTAGATAACAGAGGTTCACTAACCTCACCCACCACCACACCACCACGACTCAATTAGTTCTGTAGACGGACTCCACCTGAGGAGAGGTGGTAACAGTGGACAATATTGTAAGGGATGTAGGACAGAGTAAATATAGAAGAAAAATGAACTACTGAGCTGAGGAAGGAACCCCCTCTCTTTCTCCCCCCCCCCCCCAAGCTCCATAGCCCTACGACCACCACCACACTAAAGCCCCCCCCACTATAACTTACCACCACTAGCCCCCCCCTCCCACTATAACTTACCACCACTACCCCCACCCACTAACTTAACCACCACTCGCCCCCCCGCCCCCCCCCACTATAACATACCACCAACCACCCCCCCCAACATAACTTCCCACCACTAGCCCCCCCGCCTATAACTTACCACCAACTAGCCCCCCCCCACAATAACATACCACACTACACCCCCCCTCCCCACCTATAACCTTACCAACACGTACCCCCCCCCCCCCACTATAACTTACCACACTAGCCCCCCCCCCCCCCCACTATAACTTACAACACTACCCCCCCCCCCACTATAACTTACCACCACTGGAGGCCCCCCGCCCCCCCCCCCCCCACTATAACTACCACCACTAGTTCCCCCCCCACATAACTTACACACTACCCCCCCCCCCACTAAAACTTATCACACACTACCCCCCTCCACTATAACTTACCACACTACCCCCAGGCCCCCCCCCCATCAGAAAAAACAATGAACTACTGACTAGACGAACCCCCTCTCTTTCTCTCTTCTCCCCCCCCCACCTTAGCTCCAATAGCCCCGACCACCAACAACACTACCCCCCCCACTATAACTTTTACCACCACAACCCCCCCCCCCCCCCCCCACTGATAACTTACCACCACTAGCCCCACCCCCAACTATAACTTACCACCACTAGCCCGCCCCCCCCCCACTAAACTTACCTCCAAACCCCCCCCCCCCCCCCCCACTATAACTTACAACACTACCCCCCCACTATAACTTACCACCACTAGCCCCCCCCACTATAAACTTTCCCACCACTAGCCCCCCCACTATAACTACCAACACTACCCCCCCCCCCACTATAACTACCACCACCAGGGCCCCCCCCCCCGGCCCCCCCCACCCCACAATAACTACCACCCTCTAGCCCCCCCCCCCCCACTATAACATAAACACCACTAGCCCCCCCCCCACTATAAACTTACACCTCTAGCCCCCCCCCCCTCTTCTATAACTTACCAACAACTAGCCCCCCCCCACTATAACTTACCACCACTACCCCCCCGCCCCCCCCCCACTATATAACTTACCACCTCTAGCCCCCCCCCCAACTATAACTTACCAACACAAGACCACTCCCCCCCCCCCCACTATAACTTATCACCACACCCCCCCCACCACTATAACTTATCACCATCTAGCCCCCCCCCACTATAACTTACCTAACCACAGCCCCCCGGCCCGGCCCCCCCCACACTATAACTTATACTTACCACCCCTATCCCCCACTATAACATACCACCACAAGCCCCCCCCCCCAACAATAACTCTACCACCACTATTCCCCCCCCCACTATAACTTATCCACCACTAACCCCCCCCCCACTATAACGATCACCACTAGCCCCCCCCCCACTATAACTTCCACCACTAGGCCCCCCGCCCCCCCACACTATAACGTACACCACCTCTTAGCCCCCCCCCCCACTATAACTTACCACCACTACCCCCCCCCCCCACTATAACTACCACCACTATCCCCCCCACCAATATAACATATCACCACTACCACCCCCCCCCACTATAACTTATCACCACTATCCCCCCCACACTATAACTTTACCACCTCTACCCCCCCCCCCCCCCCCACTATAACTTACCACCTCTACCCCCCCCACTATAACTTACCACCACTATCTCCCCCCCCCACTAAACTTTATCACACTACAACCCCCCCCCCCACTATAACTTATCACCACTACCCCCCCCCACATAACTTACATAAACTTACCACCTCTAGCCCCCCCCCACTATAACTTACCACCACTAGCCCCCCCCCCCCCCACTATAACTTACCACCACTAGCCCCCCCCCCCCCCCACTATAACTTACCACCACTAGCCCCCCCCCCCACTATAACTTACCACCTCTAGCCCCCCCCCCTCTATAACTTACCAACACTAGCCCCCCCCCCCCACTATAACTTACCACCACTAGCCCCCCCCCCCCACTATAACTTACCACCTCTAGCCCCCCCCCCCCCCACTATAACTTACCACCACTAGTCCCCCCCCACTATAACTTATCACCACTACCCCCCCCCCACTATAACTTATCACCACTAGCCCCCCCCCCCCCACACTATAACTTACCACCTCTAGCCCCCCCCCCCCCCCCCCACTATAACTTACCACCACTAGCCCCCCCCCCCACTATAACTTACCATCACTAGCCCCCCCCCCCCCCCCCCCCACTATAACTTACCACCACTAGTTCCATGACCCATGAGAGGATTAGAACTGTCCAGTTTGAGCGACTTCTTCTTAGCAGGCTCATTACTAAGTTTACTTCTGTACCCCCCTCCTTTCTTGTGTCTCTCCCAATCCTCTATCTTATCCTGCCTCTGTTGCTCTTCTCGCTGAAGGAGTTAGCGCTGTTGTTAACTAGGTAATGAACGAGGCTAAATGTAGTTTATTCAACTTAGTTAACATCGTTAAAAGTAAGCGAGCTTAACTTAGTAAATAGTATAAAAAGTAGTTTATCTAACTTAGTAAATTATTATATAAAGTAAATGTGTTTAACTAAATATACCTCTCTAATCTTCTCAGCCTCAATAGCAGCAGCTGCGTCCACCTCAACTTAGTAAATTATTATATAAAGTAAATGTGTTTAACTAAATATACCTCTCTAATCTTCTCAGCCTCTATAGCAGCAGCTGCGTCCACCTCAACTTAGTAAATTATTATAAAAAGTAAAAGTGTTTAACTAACTTAGTAAATTATTATATAAAGTAAATGTGTTTAACTAAATATACCTCTCTAATCTGCTCAGCCTCTATAGCAGCAGCTGCGTCCACCTCAACTTAGTAAATTAATAAAAAGTAAAAGTGTTTAACTAAATATACCTCTCTAATCTTCTCAGCCTCTATAGCAGCAGCTGCGTCCACCTCAGCTTAGTAAATTATTATAAAAAGTAAATGTGTTTAACTAAATATACCTCTCTAATCTGCTCAGCCTCTATAGCAGCAGCTGCGTCCACCTCAACTTAGTAACTTATTATAAAAAGTAAATGTGTTTAACTAAATATACATCTCTAATCTTCTCAGCCTCTATAGCAGCAGCTACGTCAACCTCAGCTTAGTAAATTAATAAAAAGTAAAAGTGTTTAACTAAATATACCTCTCTAATCTTCTCAGCCTCAATAGCAGCAGCTACGTCTACCTCAGCTTAGTAAATTATTATAAAAAGTAAATGTGTTTAACTAAATATACCTCTCTAATCTTCTCAGCCTCTATAGCAGCAGCTGCGTCCACCTCAACTTAGTAACTTATTATAAAAAGTAAATGTGTTTAACTAAATATACATCTCTAATCTTCTCAGCCTCTATAGCAGCAGCTACGTCTACCTCAGCTTAGTAAATTAATAAAAAGTAAAAGTGTTTAACTAAATATACCTCTCTAATCTTCTCAGCCTCAATAGCAGCAGCTACGTCTACCTCAGCTTGTAGCTTCTCACGAGCTCTCCTCATAGCTTCTAACCTATTCATCTGTTCTTCCGGGCCTGGGCATTAGATCATTATAGTCAGGTTACAATCTAGGATACGAGAATTCGCTCTAATATTCATTATTTTGATGTAACTGAAACTGAAGCACACATTGGACTTTGAGAAGGTGTACACTTACTTAAGTTAGATTGGACACCATCCCTTTTGCTCTGGACCTTCTGTTCGAGGTATTCCACTAGTTTCTGATACACATAATAAGTTACAATAGCTCCAATAAGGATAACGTAACCGTGTGTTTCAAACACCGACCAAACTGAAAAATCAGGTTAGTTACCTGGTTACCTGGTTACCTGGTTACCTGGTTACCTGGTTACCTGGTTACCTGGTTACCTGGTTACCTGGTTACCTGGTTACCTTACAGGTTAGTTACAACTTGTGGAAATCTTTACAGCAGTTTATAATTTAATCAACTTTAATCCTAACTGAGCCTAGAAATAAGAAGTTATGTTTGCAACTCTAAGAGATTACAATAACGATATAATATAGCCGGACTAGTAGCCCCTCTCTAAGAGATTATAATAACGATATAATATAGCCGGACTAGTAGCCCCTCTCTAAGAGATTATAATAACGATATAATATAGCCGGACTAGTAGTGCAACTCTAAGAGATTATAATAACGATATAATATAGCCGGACTAGTAGCCCCTCTCTAAGAGATTATAATAACGATATAATATAGCCGGACTAGTAGTGCAACTCTAAGAGATTATAATAACGATATAATATAGCCGGACTAGTAGCCCCTCTCTAAGAGATTATAATAACGATATAATATAGCCGGACTAGTAGTGCAACTCTAAGAGATTACAATAACGATATAATATAGCCCTCACCGTAAGACACAACAGTGGAGAGTAAGTATGGGTTCTTGTTACTTAGGACTGGGGGGTGTTCCTGGGGGTCGTGGTCTATGATGACGTCATCGTCAGAGAGAACACTCTCAGACATGATCCTAGCAGGATATATAATTAGTAAGAGAGAACACTCTCAGACATGATCCTAGCAGGATATATAATTAGTAAGAGAGAACACTCTCAGACATGATCCTAGCAGGATATATTATTAGTAAGAGAGAACACTCTCAGACATGATCCTAGCAGGATATATAATTAGTAATTATCATAATGTCCCTTATTTATTGCGTTAAAGTGTATATAAACACAAGCTTAATAAGCAAACAATTAGCTACATGATTAGTAGTAGACTGTAAGTAACATGGCTATATATATAATATGGATGTATAGCAGAGATTAGTTGAAGTAATTTAGAGTTTAACCATAAAGTTGATCCAGACAGGATATATCCCCACATGATACCCCCACGTGATGCCCATATAAGGAGTGCAGTGGCCACGTGATGCCCATATAAGGAGATCGGTTTCCTGGTCACGTGACCTGTATACCAAATACAGCTCTCCATTTCTGGCAAATGAGTGGTTAAAGAACTTATTGCTTTCGTGAGTGCAGCTTTACAGCTCGTTTACTCAGCGTGTTTTCAGCTTGTTCTGTAGTAGAACACATGTAGTTTTGGTTTGTAGGAGATGGTTTCTTGAATCAGATATTCGACACTAGTAGTATGTAGTAAAGTTACAACACTTTTCAATATATCAGCTCTATATTCCCACAGCTTGAATGTGATTTTACTGAGTAAGATGTTAAGTTCAAGAAGTTGCCAATGAAACATGTGTTGACATGGCAACGGAGGAAGTATTCCCAGACGACACTCCAGAACTAGAAGAACAGTTCAAACTACAAGATGGAGATGGAATTGTACCGGAATTAAGGAAGCGCGCTTCTTTCGAGCAATTCCAATCATGGCTTCGTGATCTAGGTTTGTACTTTAGTTTTATTATACAATAACAATAGTGTGTACAATGAATAATAAAGAAACGCAGAACTAACATTGCAGCAGTTATTTTACTTAACGTTTTATAAACTTCAGAATCGTATTTCAAGTGTAATCAGGTATATGAGCCTGAGAAAAAGTACTCCATTCTAATGATACATGGGGGACCTTTTCTGAATGAGATAGCAAGAACTAAGAAACTGGCAGAAAGAGGGGAATACCCTATCTACAAGTTAGTACAAATAAACAGAGCTTATAATTAATGTGTGTTGTTAGAGAGGCGAGTATATGTTTTCCATTGAATGAAAAATAACCGTAATTGTATTTTTGAATAAAAATCCTCAAAATGGCCTGAAATATACCTTTCTGAATTCTGAAAGCTGTCATCCCAGAGGCGAAGAGGAACAGATAAAACGAGATGAGGCAAGAAAACTACGAGACAAGCACAGAAAAGGGACAGTAGATGTCTATGAAGACACAAAGAAGATTTTAGTAGACAACTTCGTTCCAAACTCGAATGAAATCGTAGAGAGGATGAAATTCCTAGCAACCGAGCCGAGAATAGGCGAGTCAGATGAAGCCTTCCTTAACAGACTGATTGAGAATTCAATGTTTTGTGGGTACGATAATGGATACAGGTATATTGAGAGCACGTATGTGCACGTGCAATGTGCAGTGTGCACGTACAGTGTGCAGTGTGCACGTGCAATGTGCAGTGTGCACGTGCAATGTGCAGTGTGCACGTGCAATGATTCTTGCAACGACATTATGATCGGTTTTGTTGTCACAATATATTATATTGTGTCGACTGTTTTACATATTGATCGGCTGTATCTTCGGTTGGGATTGTTCAAAACTTGCTTTTAACTTGAATACTATTAGCTTCTTGATCCTTCATGTGACCACGGGTTTTCTAGTTAATATATAAAGTACCTATACTCTTACTGTTGATTGTTCAGTTCAGAAGATGCTATAGTGGAGCAGCAACTAATACGTCATTAATACGTGACCACCAATACGTCATCAATACGTCACTAATACGTCATGTAATCTGTTTCTTCAGTTCAGAAGATGCAATAGTGGAGCAGTTCATGGAGAAATGTATTTGGTGTAACCTAAAAACCCGACTAGCTTTTGAGTCTAAGTTGACGATAAGTAAGATACTAGAAATAGCAGACGATATGAGCAGGAGAATGCCCCCTGGAGAGGACTTGCGGTTTCAGATGCCTGGAGAGAGTGAACTGCAAGCATTTCCCATCACCCACTCACTAGAACGAACGGTAACGTTTATGAAGGAGTAAGGGTTTAGTAACGTTAAGGGAGAGGTGATGAGGCAACAATATATCCTTTATTCTTTTATTAAAAGTTTGTTAGAAAAACTAAATTATATTTCCTAAAATACTCGAAGAACCTGTTAATGTCAAAGCAGGTGATGGTACAGTTAATAACTGTACTGACAAAGCATATTTTCAGAAAGGAAACATATACAAGCCATACAAGCTGCAAGATTTCTATGATAAAAACAGTGTGGAGACTGTCCCTGATCCGGAAGTGCCTTGTTTACATTGTGAGACAAAGGGACATGTTCCCCAGTTCTGTATATTGAAGGAAAAGCACCCAAATAATTTATTAGAGGACTCTGAACCAGAGGACGCTGGACTAGATGACGTCATCTAGTGACGTCATCACCATCATATGACTCTAGATGACTTTGAGAATTTTCAAATCACATTTTTTGGAAATAATTTAGTCAAATACATTTAATTTCATTCTGTACAGAGGTCGGGCATGATATTGTGCCGACACAAAAAGTAAACGACTACAATACATCAATCACAATGTTCAGAGAATGAATATCAAATTCAAAGCTTTGAATTTGGCATAAAATATCATAGAAATTTGATTTAAAAGTACTATACTGATCAGAGTCACAATCCAGGATATTTCTCATTAACATCAGCTCTATTCCCTTAGCTTAAATATGATGTTACTAAGTAAGATGTTAAGTACAAGAAGTTGCCAATGAAACATGTGTTGACATGGCAACGGAGGAAATGGTCCCAGACGAGGCTCCAGTGGAGGAACAACTACAAGATGGAGATGGGATTGTACCGACATTACAGCAGCCACGTGATGCCCATATAAGGACATTACAGCAGCGCGCTTCTTTAGAGCAATTCCAATCATGGCTTCGTGATCTAGGTTTGTACTTTGGTTGTGTTATACAAAAGCAATAGTGTGTACAATAAATGATAGAGAAGATATTTTAACTAACCTTGCAGCAGATTATGCAGTAGTTATGTAACTAAACGTTTTATAAACTTCAGAATCGTATTTGAAGTCTAATCAGATATCTGACCCTAAGAAAAAGTACTCAATTCTAATAACACATGGGGGACCTTTTCTGAATGAGATAGCAAGAACTAAGAAACTGGCAGAGCTGGAGGAAGACGAATACCCTGTCTTTATGTAAGTACAAATAAACACAAAGCTGAGAATGGCAAGCATATATATATGTTTATCTAGTTATGTTCATTGAATGAAAAACGGCAATGATTGTTTTTTTGAATAAAACATTGTACAACCGGATTTAATCTTCTAAATAACCTTGTTCTATCTGAATTCTGAAAGCTGTCATCCCAGAGGCGAAGAGGAACAGATAAAACGAGATGAGGCAAGAAAACTACGAGACAAGCACAGAAAAGGGACAGTAGATGTGTATGAAGAGACAAAGAAGATTTTAGTAGACAACTTCGTTCCAAACTCGAATATGGTGGTAGAAAGAATGAAATTCAGAGCAGTCCAGCCTAAAATGGGCGAGTCCCATGCAGCCTTCCTTAACATACTGAGGGAGCATGCGATATATTGTGGGTACGATAATGGATACAGGTAAGGAAAAAGGAAAAATAGAAATATTATCATTTATATATAATAGAAATGTCTTTAACGAATATCCTAAAATGTCGATAAAGCGTAGTTCATGTATTAAACCCAACAACCAATACGTCATTAATACGTCACTAATACGTCACTAATACGTCATGTAATCTGTTTCTTCAGTGCAGAAGATGCTGTGGTTGAACAGTTCATGGAGAAATGTCCCTGGGGGAACCTAAAAAACCGACTAGCTTTTGAGTCTAAAGTGACGATAAGTAAGATACTAGAAATAGCTGAGGACATGAGAAAGAAAATGCCTGCAAAGGACCTGCGGTTTGACAAGCCTGGAAAGAGTGAACTGTATCAAACATTCCCTAACAAGCACTCACTCGAACCCACGGTAATGTTAAGGGAGTTATTCTGTTATTAAAAGTTTGTTAAAATTATATTTCGTAAAATACCCAGAAAAATTGGACTCAATGTTAAAGCAGCTTAGCAAGTTCATGGCCAGTTAACGGTAACGTTTATGAAGGAGTTAATAACTGTCCTTACAAAACGTATTTTCAGAAAGGAGAAATAAACAAACCATACAAGCTGGAAGATTTGTATGATAGAACGAGTTTGGAGAGTGTCCCTGACCCGGCAGTGCCTTGTTTACACTGTGAGACAAAGGGACACGTTCCCAGGTTCTGCATATTGAAGGACAAGAACCCAAATACTTGACTAGATGACTAGCTAACTTTGAGGACTTTTAGAGCTGATTTTCAAAATTTGCGTACTTTTGTTTTTGTATTTTTTAAAATAATTGAGTTTAATATTTTTTTGTACGGACATGATTTTGTAACGACAAAAAGAGTAAGCAACTATAATACATGTTCCAAGAATGAATATCAAATTTAAAGCTTTGGAGCAAATTTTGGTGAAATTAGCTCCTAATGTCTATAATCATAGCTTATGTACAAAATACAATAGCAGGCCATTCAAAAATCGTCATAAAATATTTATTTAAATTTAATTTATAAGTATCAAAAATCACCAAGTTAACCTGATCACTGATCAAAGTCACAATTCAAAATATTTCTTGTTAACATTGATAATAATAATAACTTATAATAGTCAAATGTACCAAATGTACCTATGTACTAATTTCAACTGCAGAAAAGAACTCTGTATATTAAATATATTAAACTAGAAATTAACTCTGTATTAAACTATGTAAATTTCGGATCATTCAACTATAACTATGATTAATAAAAGTAGTAAATTGCGAAAT